ACAGTTGTAGTCAGCTCTGGGCTTAGAGGAACTTCATTACCTGACCTCAAACTGTACTACAGAACATAGTGACAAAGACAGCATAACACTGGCACAAAAATAGGCATGTAGAAAAAGAAAACGTAATCACAATTCAGAGTTAAAGTCACAGAGTTGATAACTACATTTGTTGAAGGTGTCAGTATGCACTAGAAAAAAAGACAGCCCTTTCAGTGAATGGTACTGAGAAAACTCTACATCCACTTGCAGAAAAATAAAATTTAATACATATCACTCATTCTACCCAAACATCAATTCAAATTGACTGAGAGACCTTAATTGAATCATGAAATGCTCAAATTGCTAAAGGAAAGCATGCAGAAAATACTTTGAGAAATACTACATGTATAGGCAAGAATAGAAGCCAACTAGTACAGAAAATCACCCCAAGAATTCACATATAGGATGATATGAAATTAAAAGGTGTCTGCTTAGCAAAAGAAACTTCCAACAGAATGAACTGACACTCTATAACATGGGAGAAAAATTGTTGCCAGTTATACTTCTGACAAGGGGTTAATATCTAAAATACATAAAGAACTTGGTACTTTATATGAAAACAGACATATAGATCAATGAAACATAACAGAAGATCCATACATGAGTGCATGCAATTTCAGCCACCTGATATTTGACAAAGGCACCAAGAAAACATAATGGAGGAAAGACAGCATCTTCAACAACTGGTGCTGAAAAAACTGGATCCCTACCTATAGAAGAATGAAATTGGACCCTTATCTAGAAGAAAATATAAGAAATACCCTCCAAGATATAGGCATAGGAAAGGACTTTCTAAATCGGACATCAGTTGCTCCAGCATTAAGATCATTGAGATCAACAATTGACAAGCAGCACCTCAGTTGCTTCTGTACAGCGGAAAAAAAAAAAAAAAAAAAAAAAAAGGAACTGAAGAAATCTGCTGAGTAGAAGAAAAATCTTCACCAGCTACACATCCAAAAGAGGATTAATAACTAGAATATACAAAGAACTCAAAAACCAAAAACCAAAGAAACAAGAAAATAATCCAAGAAACGATGGACTAAGGACCTGAACAGAGAGTTTTCAAGTGAAGAAATAAAAATGGCTAAGAAACAGCTTTCAAAGTGTTCAACATCCTTAGTAATTAGGGAAAAGCTAATCAAAACCACTTGAAGATTTTGTCTTACTCTAGTCAGACTGGCTAAGATCAAAAGAACAAAAGACACAAATGCTGGAGAGGATGTGGAAAGAGGAATGCTCACTCACAGCTGCTGGAAATACAAATTTGTGCAACCACTATGGAAAGCAGTGTGAAGTCTTTAAAAACTAAAAATGAATCTATCATATTATCTGATTATACCACGCCTTGGCATATACCCAAAGAATTCACCCTACTGAAGAGATACTTGTACATCCATTTTTGTTTGCTGGTCTTTTCACAATAGCTCAGAAATGGAAACAACATAAATTGCCTCAATTGATGAACAGATAATGAAAGGGTAGTATGTTTACACAATGAAGTTCTACTTACCAGTAAAGAAAGATGAAATCATGAAATTTTTAGGTAACTGAATGGAACTAGAAATTGTTATGCTAAATGAAATAACAGGCTCAGAATTTCAAGCAATGTATATTCTCCCTCATTTGTGGATCTTAGCACCAAATCTGTGTATGTGAGTATATATCCTGATGTAACAGCAGGAGCTAGGAAAATGGAAAGAAACCATGGAGGTAAAGGTAAAGAAAGAGCCCCAGAGAGAGGGGGATAGTAGAAAACAGATGTTACCAAGGGGAAAATGGGAAAATGGAAGTATTAAAGTGGGTAGGGAGGAGAGAAGGACATAAAAGGAACCATGGGGGTAAAGGAGAAGAAGGAAGTCAAGAGATGGAATAATAGGAGACAGGTATTATCAAGGAGAAAATGGGGAAAATTGGGGGTACTTTAACTGGGGAGGGAAGAGGGAGATTAAACAGGAAGGGAGAAGATAAATAAAACTTGGGTGGAGTGAAAAACCAGAGGGAAACGGATTAACTCAAAAACTTCCTGAAATATACGCATACAGTAACTGAACACGAGTGCATGTGTATACCTGAAGGATATATAACAAGGAGCACAGTGCCGGAAAGGAGAAATCTCCCCTTCTAGTTGCTTGTCAGGGTAGTCCAAGATACTCCCAAAATAACACAAGCTATAGCCACAGCCCTTGATTACCTCCCAGATCTTGAAGGTAAGACCCTAATGCTGAAGACATACTTTGGATACAGGACTTGGAGAATGGAGCTGGAACTGACCTAGAAGCCTCTTCCCTGAAGACCAGCTCTCATAGTTTTGGAGGACACTATGCAAGCTGCTAAGGGAGAAAATCAGTCAGGGGTCCAACCACAGCTTCAAAGCCTAATAACCATAACAATGACCAGCACAACAAACTCTAGTGGTGGAGTATGGCACTTTTATCTGGAGGGGTGGGGGGTGGGGTGGGTAATAACTACAGTTGATGTATCCACAATGAAGGGCATTTTGGAACAGAAATTTGAAATTATAAGCCTTAGAACGTATGAGATTGGGCAGGGCATATAGATAGTGGAAGGGGTTTAAATACAATCAAAATATATTGTATAAAATTTACAAAATTTCAATTTAAAAAATCTACCATTAAAAACAATCTTAGAGGGACTGGAGTTATGGCTCAGTGGTTAAGAGCACTAGCTGCTGTTCTAAAGAACACAGGTTCTGTTCCCAGCACCCATATGGCAGCTAACTACCATCCATAACTCTAGTTTTAGGAGATCTAATGCCTTCTTCTGGCCTCTGTGGGCATTACACTCATGTTACACTTATATACATTCACAGAAACACTTATGAAAATGAGAAGCAAGCAGGCATAGCTATTCTAATATCTGAAAAGGTAGACTGTAAACTGAAACTAGTCAGAAGAGATAGGAAAGGATGTTTCACATCCATTAAAGGACAAATCTACCAAGAGGATAGTACAATCCTAAGCATATATCCAAATACAGGGGCACCCAGTTTCATAAACTAAACACTATTAGATGTAAAATCACAGACTAACCTCAACACAGTGATAATGAATGACTTCACTATCACCAATAGACAGGTCACCCAGACAAAAACTAGAGAAACCTGGAGTTAAATGATATAATAAATCAAATGAACCTAATAGACGTTTATAGAACACTCAATCCAAACACTAAGCAACACACTTTCTTCTCTGCAGTTCATGGAACTTTCTCCAAAATCGACAACATATTAGGACACAAGACTTGTCTCAAAAAATTTAGGAAAACGGAACTATCTTCCTGTATTCTCTCTGACCAAAATGAATAAAACCGAATATCAACAACATTGGAAATGGGGGAAGCTAAACACACTAATGAAAGAAAATTGGGTCAAGGGAAAAAATCAAGAAGGAAATTTAAAAATTCTTAAAACTGAGTGAAAATGAAACACAGCATACCAAAATCTATGGGACACAATGAAGGCAAACAATACACAAAAGGAGGAGATAAAGCCACAGCGTTGGCACATGCCTTGAAAACAACCTAGATATCTATTAACTGATGAATGGATAATGAAAGTATGGTGCATTCATACAATGATATATTATTCAACTATTAAGAAAAATGAAATTAAGAAATTTGCAGGTAAATGGATGAAACTGGAAACAATCACCCCAAGTGAGGTAACCCAGACCCAAAAAGACAAATGTTACATGTTCTCTTTGAAAAGTGTATGCTAGCTTTGAATCTTTAGATACATGTGGTTTCAATTGGAAAATTCATAGAAATCTGTAAGTAGTGAGAGGCCATAGTGGGGGCCAGAGGGTGCGTTGATAGAGGAGATATAGAATGCCCAGATATAAGAGGAAAAGGGGAATAATGGAATAGGATGTATTAAATGTGGGGAATGGGAGGACAGGGTAGATGAGGGAATTTGAGGACAGATAACTCATACTATCCGTCGTTTGAAAAAGTCATATAGAAATCTACTAAAATAGTTTCTTAAAATATATACATACACAATACCAAAAGTTTAAATGCAGTTACCCTGTGAGGGAGAGTACCCCAGGCCAGCAAATAGAAAGCCCAATGCCAGCAACAGAATCCATCTTTTGCAGTTGTTGATAGAGTCCCATAGGCCCTCAAACAATTCTGGCTATTGCTCCTATTCTTAGTTACCCTCCAGAACTTGATGGTAAGACCCTATTCCTAAAGACACTATATATATGAATCATAGAACAAACAAAGAGAAATGAAGTTGGTGCTAACCTTGAAGCTTAATCTCTAATGACTAGCTTTCACTATTAGGTACTATGCATGCTACTGGAAAAGAAAAATAATTATCAACTGTACCCAGCTGTGAACCCTGTGAACCCAAGATATGCTCACCGGTGTAACAGTAGGAAGAATTTTATGAGACTAACCAACCACTTTATGATTGGAGTTAAGGCTCACTTCATAAGATGGAGTTCATACTGTGCACTGTTATCAGGACCAAGAACCTGTGGCTAAACAGATCACAGGCCATAGAGGAGAACCTACTAATATTATTCTACTAAATGGACATAGTAGCAAACTAACCCCTCATGAATTATTTTTATACCCATAGATGAGTGTATCACTCAACTCTCACCAGAGATGATGCTTCTTGAAGCAGATGGCAACTAACACAGAGATCCAAAAATGGTCAAAGAACAGAGAGCCAGAGTCTGTAGAGTGCTCAGCCCTAAATGGGATACCTAAGACATATCCTCTCCTTCTAAGCCTCAGGGATCATTGCGGAAGGAGGAGGAAAGATTGTAGGAGTTCAAGCTTTGCAATTCTCACATCTCGACATGTCCAAAACATTTTATAAAACTATACATAACTTAGAGAGTATGAGGTATTACTTCTAATTATGGATTGTAGAAGCACGTCTTTATCTACAATCATAAATTTTTAAAAGCAAGAAGAATACTGCTTACCAAAAGAAGGTGACTCCCTTCCATCCTCCAGTCCTGAATCTCTTTCTCTGTCCCTCTTTCTGTGTTTATGACCACGATGCCTGTGACGGCGATGGCTTTTTCTTCCCCCGAGAGGTACATGAACTCCAATAAATAGTGTTCGATGACCTTCATTAGGAAGTAAATGCACAAATTAAAACTCTCATTTAGTCCAGAACACAGAAGACAATGATTTACATGTCAATGAAGCCTCAATTAATTTAATCCAGTAAATTGTTTTGGAATGTTGAAGATGTGTAAAGCTTAGGGCTTAGTATTGTATTTTAGCATATTTCAACAGATACTTACCTAATTAGGTGTACCACAAGTCTTCAACAAACATTACTAATTATTTTATTGTATCTTTGCAATAATCTTTCATTTGTTAGTGTCTTTTCATTTATTTTAAAATTTGTTTTTATTTTATGTATATGAGTGTTTTTCCTGCCTGTATGTAAGAGTACCACTTGCCCACAATGCCCAACAGAAGCTAGAAGAGGGCATTGGATCCCCTGCAGCTGGAGCTATGGGTGGTTGTCAGGCACCATGAAGCTTCTGGGAATTAAAACCAGGTCCTCTGCAAAAGCAGCAAGTGCTCTTAACTATAGACCTATTTTGTAAGCCCCTTAATAATTTATGTTACCATTCACTATACTTTAATTAGACTCTTTACACTTCATTCGATAAAAAAGTCTGTTCTCTCCATACACTTATTTCATTTCACCAATTCTCTACTACTGTTTCTAGAAAAACAAATTTCACTGATGTCCCTACTTTGACAAGGGCTTTTTCATTGCTGTTGTCATCCTCTTCCTTACCCTTGGTTTCATCTATATTATTCCCTTTGTTGCGCCTTTTTTTCTTTACACATTCAAGGCTGGGATGTCCAGGATTCTGTCCTTGCCCTCACATTCTCAACTACTATGTATAATGTGTAGGCTCTAAGATATACACCTTGAAACCAGACTTCTCTTGAGAACTGGCAACTTACATGTCCCCCATCTACTAGACATATTAACTTAAGCAGACTTTTAAGCAGCATGGTACTTCAGTGGAGCTCATACTTTTCTTTTGCTCCAAGTATGAACTGTCACATATCTTAGTAAACAGACCATCTACCCTCTCATCGGGAAGGCATTCAAATTGTCTGCAATACTTGACTCCTAAACATTTCTTGAAAACATGTTCTCAGTATCCCAACTGGTGCTTTCTTGGTTTGGACTCTTATTATCCTCCATAAAGATTAGAATATCTACCCTTCTTTGTGTTTCACATTTAGATCTATGATCCATCTTTAGTTAATTTTTATGGAAGCTTTAAATCTTGGGATATATTATAATCTAAACAAGCATTTTGCTTAGATTCTAATCTAAATGCTCTATGTATCTAGATGGTACTTTAATTTGAAAACTTACATATAAACAAAAGCTTGTACATATATAGTAATTTTATCCATAGCTGTACATATCACTGAAAGGAATAAGAAATGTATTATCTAAGGAAACAAACTATAAGCGATTAAGAGGACATTTTTGTGAGCAAGTAAATAAAAAATCAGCTATATTGGAGTGATTCTCTTAAGAAAATATTAATAGAGCAGCCCCCCAAATTCTACCTTATTTTCTCAAATAGCAAATAGTACATAATGCCACAATATCAATATGATGGGGTATTTATTTCCTCTGAAACTCCTAAACCTAACTCCTAAACCCTGATTGTGATTATACAGGATATAGAATATTCATGGAGACAAAGTTAAATGAGGTTGTAAGGTGGCTCAGATCCAATTTGTATTCTTAAAAGAAGAGACATTGAAGAGCTCCCTCAATGGCTTTCTGAGCAAGGAGACAACACAGAGGTAATGTGGGACTTACTAAGATAGCTACTGCCAATAAGCCAAGAAAAGAGGCCTTGGAGCCATCTCTTTGCCCTCCTCCAGAAATGTGAGAAAATTAATAGCTATTGTCAAGTGAGCCTGTAGTATTTTGTTATCGTACTACCAGCTGACTGCTACAACTAGAAAATACTAACTAAATTTGTTATGGCCATATTAAATTCCAGGAGACATGTTAAATTGTGAGATTTCATAGGTACTCAATACGTATTATTTAAGATGACGGTATTTCTTTGAAAAGAATAAATGAATTATAGTTTTAGTGGCTATGATTGCACTTAAGGGTATAATAATATTTGGTACTTAAATTATTATTTTATTTAATGTTCATTGTAGCCTTCCCACAGTACTAAATTGAAAGAACTCATTAACAACCAGTATTTTACTAAAGACTCAAACACTAAATTATGGTGTCATAATTTAAATCTAGTTCTAATTGACTACAAATTATCTACTGTCATTTTAACACTCAATTTCTGCCAAATAACACCTAGCATTCAAACAGTGTGTTATCACTTATAACATCTTAGTCTTCCCATTTACTGGCTGTGTGACCTTGGAAAACATTTTTTTATGTTTGTTTTTTGTAAAATTAAAATGGTGATGGCTGTCACCTTGCTTGGTTCTGTTGTGAAGGTTAAGTGGAAGAAGGAAAGTTAAACATTAAAAATAAAGTCTGATGGAGCTGGAAAGATGGCTCAGCAGTTAAGAACACTGGCTGGGGTCTGGAGAGATGGCTTAGCAGTTAAGAGTACTGATTGCTCTTGCAGAGGACCCGGGTTCAATTCCCAGCACCCACATGGCAGCTATGAACCATCCTTAACTACAGTTCCAGGGGAATTCGAAGCCCTCTTCTGGCCTCCGCGGCATTGCACAACACTGGTGCACTCACATATACGCAAGCAATACACTCATACACATAACACTGGCTGTTCTTGCAGAAGACCCAGGATCGAATCCCAGCACCCACATGGAAGCTAACAACTGTCCATAACTCCTGTTCCAGGAGATCCATCAGCCTCTTCTATCTTCCACGAGCATTGCACAACACGGGTGCATTTACCCACTTGTAAGCAATACACGCATACACAAAACTAATAATAATAAATAAAATTTTAAAAGAGAATAATGTCTGAGATGACATAATTTCTCCAGAAACGATCATTGTAATAGTACTTATCAGATAAACAGTGTACCACCATTAAGAGAATACAAATCAGGAACATTGATTTGAATCCTAATTCTGATAGTTGCTAGCCCTATGATCTGGGAAAATCTGGTAACTGTTTTGGTACTAATTCTTTCATTTATAGTGTTACTTGACTCAGACAGGGATGATAAGGATCACATGCAACTGGGTATGTGAACATGTTTTATACCTGTAAATTTTATGCAAAACACATAAAAATATTTTATTGAGGTAGGATAAAAGTGCTTCCAAATTCTACAAGGATTAGAACCAAGACTGGCATTCTTCTAATGCTGGAAAAGAATCTAATAATCTAATACATACACATATATGTATATTTACACATATTAGTAAGGGAGATTAATCACATAAACCTGAAAATAATTCTAGATCTTCTAAAAAACTTCAAGCTACAAAAATTATTTTTATATTCAGTTTTTTTGTAATGAATGGATCCATGTAAGCAAGTGAAAAATATTGTTTTAACTGATTTACTACAAAATGTTAAAATGCAGTCTTTTGTCAGCAATGAAGCCTTTATTTTGCATAAGAAATAAAATGAATTTGTAACTATTTGTACCTCATTATATTTATTATTTTATTTATGACAACATTGTTCCAGGATTTGTGAATTATAAGGTAGTAATCGGAAGCACGTTCTTGAGTGCTTGCATTCAGAGCTTGTCTCTGCCATATGTATTTATGCAACTTTGTGCTGCTTTTCTGGAGGAATATGGAATACATACAACTAATGTCAATTTCACTATAATAATAGCTTATGAAAAAAAGTCTAAAGTTTGGCTTGGGGGCTCAATAAACAATCAAGTATTTAAATTTTACTTACAGATTTAGGAAATTTTCTCTAAAGGTTATATGAAATAATACAATAGATATAAAATGTTGAACAGAGTTTCAGGTACATAGCAGACATTAACACCTCACAGTGCTAACCTTCAACAGCATAAAGGACTAAGAAGGAGAAATACAATTTCTTGTACTTACGTCATTTTCTACCTGCTCATTTCTTTATTATCAACCTTTCTATCTTAACCTTGGCTTAAGAAACTTAGATCTTGGGAGAAAATAACATTTCTATGTTAATATTGCCTTCAATGTTTCCTACTAGACTATATCCAGCACTGTTTTTTTAATCCTGATATATAACACTAAAGAAAAAAAAAAACAGTTCAAGAAACTAATGATGGCTCTGTTCTGCAGTAAGTTAGCAATTATTGATCGTAAACTAAATTACTTTTCAAGATTATATAGAGAGCAATTGTTATTTTTCTAAGTAAAAGCCAAAATTTTAGTTAAAAGAAGGAATACTTTAAAATGGACAAAAATCAATAAAAAGTTCAATAAAAATTGACTTTATGTCATGTTTTTAAAAGTATAGAATCATTTAGATATAAGCATATTTTGAAAACAGGAATAAAGCAATATCATTTAAAGAAAAAGGATTGAGATAAGTATAGAACATTAGAATGTGCTATGATTTTATCTGGAATCAACATCATCCTTACAGGACCGGCCAGATGGCTCAATGAGTAATGGCACTTGCTGCCAAGCCGAACACCCTGAGTTTGATTCCTGGACCCATATGCTGAAAGTTGGAAGGAGAGAATCAACTCCTGCAGGTTGTCTTCTGATTTCCACATGTGTACTGTGGTGCATGCACACAAGAAATAAATGAGTGAATGAATGAATGAATGAATCACATCCCTACAGAAGAATCTGCTACTGTTATTCTGCCAAATGGACATAGTATTAAACTGACTCCTAATGACTTGTCATTATACCCATAGATAAGTGCATCTTTTAAGCCTCATCAGAGATGCTACTTTCTGCAGTAGATGAGGGTTACCACAAAGACCTACCTCTGGTCAAAGTACAGAGAATAAGAGACTACAGAGTGCTCCGCCTAAATGTGACATCTATATCACATCCCTCCCCAAAGGCTCAAGGAGCATCAGGAAAGAGGGGGAGGGAAGATTTCAAAGCCAGAGGTGCTTGGTGATCACAACAAAACTGTTTTCTGTACACAAC